TTACGATATATTTTACATAAATGAATATATTTTACCTTTCGAAATGGTAAGAGCAGGTGACCATTGGTCTCTTAGAATATCCAGGCATATACTTCCATTACTGTTGATATTCGGATGGTAAATTCTTGTGGTAAAATTAACCTTAACAATGCACATATGTTTTATTTATGTTAGACAAATGCCAGTCTTTACATATTATTAGCGAGAGAAAATACCTTCGGTGGTTTGAATGGATAATCTGTAGGAAAGTGGATGGCAAGAAAAAATACACCACCAGTGTATGGAGATTCGGTCTAATACATATGAAAGCAAAAAACAGTCCTAATCACTTTAGATAATTCAGTGAAAACTAGTGTGAATCAAACATTACTTACAGGGCCCATAATTGTTGCTTGCCAATGAAAAAGATCTTCTCCAATAGGACCAGCGCTGCAAGACGAAGGTGGGTCTCGCCCTAAGTCATGCAATTCCTAGAAAATAAAATAAAATGAGCATCAAAAGAAAAACGTTGTAGCAAGAAAGTTTAATATTGAACAGTATTCTTCAACCAATATACCCAGTGCTAGCTTTAAATTACACGGGCTTTACTTGTATCATTTTACAATCAAGTTTAAAAACGAAGCCGATAATAACGTAGAAACTACCAAGCCCTTGATCTGAGTAGCTGTAACGCCTTTATTCAAAGCGTTATTTTGAGATTTGTAAAATAACCCAACAGGGATAAAGCCACCAAGGTCCGAAAAAAAAGTCCAAACATGTTTAAACGAAGTAAGGCAAGTATATTCCTGTGCCCTTTTAAAGAAATACACTTTAACTTACTTTATTAATTCTTTTCAGAGCCATTTCGTTTGTTGCAAGTAGAAATTATTAAGTAGAAAAAAAGTATGTTGTAGGAAGAGATGAAAGTCCTTTTTTTTTTAAGGTTACAAGGCTAGTTTACAGCGGGGGTGTGGAATATTGTGGAAGGGTAAAGATTGATTACCAAGGCAATCAATTTTGGTTTGGGGAGTGACCGGGTTTTTTTATAAATAGTAACAGCATGACCTTGCAGTCCCGTACTCCGCAGCTGTTTCCAATCAAACTGTTTGTATAGTCACGTGATCGTTCACGTCACGGTCTAATCTTCTCTTTACAGTTTTCTGATTCGCGGAGTTGCTTTTTAAAAAATTCCGATATGCAAGTTTAATCAGCACATTATGAAATACGAAATATTCAAAATAGATAGACTAATTTCATTGTGAAACAATACAAATCGGAATCTTTATTATATAACAGGAGATTCAATCCTCATATGCTATGTCATTAAGATAATGTCTAAATTTGTTAATTATTATATGTAGTTTAAATCATTATCTGGATCACAGCTATGAAATAACTAATACGAGTTTGTTCTTTATACTTTTCAGCAAGCATATGTTGAAAGCCACATATATACTTGATATTTACTAATCTTTTATTATATCTAATTTATAGCTTGTAAATGAGTTATTTTCGTGCTTTCATTGATTCGAAAGCTTTTGCCCGCAGTTGCTCAAGTTGTTCTAGTTCGGACATTGACGTCTATAAATATATATGCAAAGAAAAACATATATATATAAATATATGTAGTTTCAACAACAAATTTATAACTAATCTCTCCTTTAAAAGAAGGAGTGTACCTTTTTGTTTTCTTCCTCGTCTTCATCATCATTCCATTTTGACTTGAAGATAGGTACATCTGCTACCTTTTTTCTAGGTGGTGAATTTTGAACTGAATCAGTTTCTTCAACTGAATCGACTAATCTTTTCCTAGCTTCATCTTCAGTTGCAACATAACCAGTGTGTTGATCATGATAATCTCTTCCTGGAGAGGGAGTAGAACTATACTTTTCAGAAGATACCTTTGTAACAATTTCTTCCTTGGAAAGACGACGTCGTTTACTTGTGTCCTCTTCCTCTCGACTTCTGCTACGACGCGATCTTCTTTCTTCATACCTTCTTTTTTCTTTGCTTCGACTTCTACTACCACGTCGGTGGCTCTTATGCCTTCGGCGTTCTCCACTACGTTCCCTAGTAATACGATCTCTGCTTTTACTTCTACTTCTTCTATGCGATCGTCGTTGATGTCTACTCTCGGCACTCCTACTTCTACTTCTCCTATGGGATCGTCGTTGATGTTTATTTTCGGCACTTCTACTTCTACTACGACTACGAACCCGGTGGGAATTTCTACTTCTACTACGTCGTCGGACTGATTTCTGGTCACGATCCTATAAAGATTTACTTGTAAGACGAAATTGATTTGGAATGAAACAATAGAAATTCGGTCTATCAACCCCAACCGCCACATTAATTACATCTTAAATTTAAATTCACACTATACCCGTCTTTCTCGTTCTTCTCTACGCTCTTTTT